TCTTTATCCTCTCAAACATGGTATCAGAGCCGGTTGAGAAACCCTAATTTACCGCCATTGGCGGAACCTTAACTCTCCGGCGAACCTAGACTCTCCGGCGAAACCCTAATTCTCCGGCGAACCTTGACTCTCCGGCGAACCCAGACCGGCGACTTAGTCCGGCGAACCCAGACCGGCGAACCCAGACCGGCGACTCAGTCCGGTGAACCCAGATCCGGTGGCTCACACTCGGCCCGGCGAACCCAGATCGACGACTCCCGTCAAGTCCCGTCGCTCTACGTTGGTGACTTCCCGAGATCTACTTCGTTGACGACTTCCCAGATCGCGGAACCCGAGTCGCCGATCTTGCTTGCATAGAGACCCGGCGGTCTCGCTCTCTTGCGCCAATCTCCGTCGGCCCCATTGAAGGTTCAGCTGAGCACTACCATGCTCTGCTCTTCGAACCCAGTTGAAGCCGCCACTGTTCGTCGTTTGTTCGCACGACGAAGGTCATTGTGACTAGTTTTGATCCGGTTGAACCCTCAAAGTGATGATTATATTTGGCTGGTTGTGTTGTTGGAGACTCTGGTGATCATATTTGGCTGGCTGTGTTGTTGGAGACTCTGTTGTTCAGTTTGCCACATTTACAATTGACTTCTGTAAAGCTTGATGGTACTAATTATGCATCATGGTCTAAAGCTGTTGAATTTTATCTTACTGCTACCAAACAACGCGATTATCTTACGTCTACGGCCCCATTAGATCAAAGTAAGGCGGTGATTGGATTCTTTGGTGATGCATTGATTCGTACATTGTTATGGAATAGTATGGATTCCAAAATTAGTCCCCATTTTATTCAGTGTAATACTGCTAAGGAGGTTTGGGATAAATGTGCTTTACTATATTCTGGCCAAAATAACATGACACGGGTTTGTGATACATGGGAGGCACTATTTGACCTTAAGCGTGGAGATCAGTCATTGACTGAATATTATGCTCGTTTCACGACACTATGTAGACAGCTGGATACTTATCTTCCCGCTTCAGATGATGCAGCCATTCTTGTCAAGAGACAAGAGGATCTTCGGGTTATTCTGTTTCTAAAGGCGTTGGGACCTGACTATTCTTCACTACGTCAACAAATTACTTCTCAGAGCTCTCTTCCTTCAGTGGATGAGGTTTTCTCTCAAGCTCTTCGTTCGACACCTACTGAGAAGATGTCCGCCACAACTTTGGAGACAAGTGCTATGGTTTCTCATAGCACTAGCGGACGTGGAACCCGGGGTTGTGGTTATAGGGGTCGTGGACGAGGTTTTGTTCCAATTGGTGGTCGTGGTGGTCGTGATGGTGGTATTGGTGGTCGTGGCTCTCGCTATTGCAACCATTGTCAGAAAAATGGACATACCGAGGCTTATTGCTATACTCTTCATCCTGAGCTTCGACCTACTGTTGCTGCCTATGTTGATTCTCCGGCATTGACTTCATCAGAATCTCCTATTGCGTATGGTACAGGTGATACTGTTACTCTGTCACGAACTGAGTATGATACGTGGCTTCGTTCTCAACAGGTGACAGGCTCTTCAGCTCCTACTGCAACTCTGGCACAGACCACCAAAGGTAGTTCATCTTGTTTACTGTCTACACTATCTCGACTCCCGGGTTATAGACTCGGAGCCACTCATCATATATCTGGTAACCATAAGCTACTTGTCTTACTTTCGGTCCACATCTTCCGAAGTGTCTAATTCTGTTACATTAGCTGATGGTTCACAATCTCATGTTTCTGGTACTGGAGTTGCTCGTTTAAGTCCTTCTCTCTCACTGTCTTCTGTCTTACACCTCAAATCTCCCTATAATTTGATTTCTGTTAGCTCATTGACTAAGGAACTGAACTGTTCAGTCACCTTTTCTTCGTCTCGTTGTGTTTTTCAGGATCTGAGGACTGGACAGATGATTGGTGGGGGACATGAATCAAATGGCCTGTACTATCTTGACAAGGAAATAATGGCTGCTGCAGCTGTGAAGCGCACATTCTCTGATGTGTATCGAATGCATTGTCGTGCTGGTCATCCACCACCGAACATTCTTCGACGTTTATTTCCTAAGTCTGAGTCTGTGAGTACTTTTCAATGTGAAGCTTGTCAGTTTGGTAAACATCATAGGACTTCTTTTCCTTCTCGTTTTCAGAGTCGTGTGTCTAGTCCATTTGAGTTAGTTCACTCAGATGTTTGGGGTCCGTGTCGTGTTTCTGATACTTCTGGTTTTAGATACTTTGTTACATTCGTGGATGATTTTTCTCGAATGACATGGTTGTTCTTAATAAAAGATCGTACTGAGATTTTTCATTGCTTTCGCCTATTTTACTTTGAAGTATTGAATCAGTATAATGCATCTGTTCAAACTTTGCGATCAGATAATGCTAAAGAATATCTTGCCTCCTCTACTGGTTTTCGATCTTTTCTTGAATCTCATGGTATTCTTCATCAAACATCGTGTTCGTACACCCCACAGCAAAATGGTGTAGCCGAACGCAAAAATCGTCATCTTCTTGATGTTGCTCGTTGTCTTATGTTTCATATGCATCTTCCTAAACTTTTTTGGGGCCATGCTGTCCTTACAGCATGTTACTTGATTAATCGGCTTCCAACCTCTGTTCTTCAAGGGCAGACACCATTTTCTGTTTTACATCCCAACCTTCCTCCCTTTGCTTTACCTTTACGTGTCTTCGGTTGCATTTGCTTTGTTCATCGTCTTTCTCCGGGTCTTGATAAATTAGATTCTCGTGCCGAGAAATGTGTCTTTGTAGGGTATTCTCGAACTCAAAAGGGCTATAAATGCTATAGTCCTACTCGTCGTCGTCTGTTTGTGTCAGCTGATGTGACTTTCTTTGAGGATCAAGCCTATTATGAAACTCAATCAGATCCTCCGGTACACGTTGCGCCACCATCCTCTGATCCTGATCCACCCATTGCTCTTCGGAAAGGTACACGTTCTTGTGTTGGTCGTCCTGTAGATCGCTATGCTCACTTTTCTGACCTTTCTTCTTGTCTTCGTACTCATCATCCCATATCCAATTTTTTATCATATGCTCGTTTGTCTCCTACCTTTTCTACCTTTGTCTCGTCCTTGTCCACTATTTCTGTGCCCAGTAATGTTGCTGAAGCTCTTGCTCATCCTGGATGGCGACAAGCCATGGAAGATGAAATGAAGGCTCTTCTTGAGAATCGTACTTGGCAGCTCACATCATTACCTCTAGGCAAACAACCCGTTGGTTGTCGTTGGGTTTTCACTGTTAAGGTTCATCCTGATGGTTCTCTCGATCGATTGAAAGCTCGATTAGTTGCCAAAGGATATACTCAGACATATGGTATTGATTATGATGATACTTTCTCACCTGTCGCCAAAATTCCATCTGTTCGAGTTCTTATTTCCCTAGCCTCACACATTGGTTGGCATCTTCATCAATTGGATGTCAAAAATGCCTTCTTACATGGTGATTTGGCTGAAGAAGTCTATATGGAGCAACCACCTGGGTTTGTTGCTCAGGGGGAGAATCTGGTATGTCGTTTACGTAAGGCCTTATATGGACTCAAACAGTCTCCTCGTGCTTGGTTTGGTAAATTCACTGATGCAGTTATCAAGTTTGGGTTAAAACAATGTCAAGTAGATCATTCAGTGTTTAGTTCTGTTTCCTCAACTGGTTGTGTTCTTCTGGTGGTATATGTGGATGATATTATTATCACTGGTAGTGATTCGGTTGGTATTCAACAACTTAAGCAGTTTTTGCATACAGAATTTAATACTAAAGATCTGGGATGTCTACGATATTTTCTTGGAATTGAAGTTGCCTACTCACAGGCAGGCATTAATTTATCACAACGAAAATATGTGATTGATATTCTTAATGAGGTCGGATTTCTTGGAGCAAAACCAGTTGATACACCTATGGAACCTAATGTGAAACTTGATGCAGAAAATGGAGAACTGTTACATGATCCAGCGAAATATCGAAGATTCGTGGGTAAGTTGAATTACCTTACTGTTACAAGGCCTGATATATCCTTTGCTGTGAGTGTAGTGAGTCAGTTTATGAGTTTCCCTCGTACTACTCACTGGAATGCTGTACTGCGAATTATTAAGTACTTGAAAGGAACACCAGGTAAAGGACTACTTTTCAAGAATTATGGTCATTTGAAAACTACAGGATTCTCTAACGCAGACTGGGCTGGATGTCCTACTGATAGGAGATCTACATCAGGGTATTGCATATTTCTTGGAGGTAATTTAGTTTCCTGGAAAAGTAAGAAACAACATGTGGTTTCCCGGTCGAGTGCTGAAGCAGAATATAGAGCTATGGCACATGTGACAGGTGAATTGATCTGGTTGAGGATGTTATTATCAGAAATTGGTGTGTCAACATCAGATCCATCAACATTATATTGTGATAATCAATCAGCCATCCATATTGCGAACAATCCTGTCTTCCATGAGCGAACCAAACATATTGAGGTTGATTGTCACTTTATACGAGAGAAGGTCCAGAAGGGGGAAATCATTCTTCAACATGCAAGGACAGAGGATCAACTGGCAGATATTTTTACAAAATCCTTACGAGGGAATAGAGTGGATTTTTTATGTAACAAGTTGGGACTACTTGATATCTACGTCCCAACTTGAGGGGGAGTGTTAGAATTATGATAATAAGGGTAGAATTGTAATATTGTGTTTAGAGGGGTTTACGTTATGTTAAGTATATATATATTGTAATCCCTCATTAAAACATAATGAGAAACATCTTTATCCTCTCAAACAGTTTCCATCCCGAGTCTTCATAATCAGCACAACAAAGGTCACTGTATCAGGCGATGCTTTGGTGTGTTTGTGTATCAGCAATTGGAAAATGGAGCTATCTTCGATGTTGCCCTCCCTGAGCAACTGGAAAACGAAGTTATCTTCAACTTCCAAGCTTTGATTTGATGCAACATATCCTAAAAACAATGGAAATAACCATTGGCAATCGCTTAATTAAGGACTTCCAAACCCATAGCACAGAACTGAGAAAGAGGTACGGATCAGGAAAGCAGTTAACCTGAATCGTCAAAACATCCAGCAAAATACAGAACAATGACTCGTGCCGCTTAAGATTTTCTTGATGGTAGAATCACACAGCAGTCAAGTTGGCTATATATTATAAATCAACGGAGAATGATAAATTGCAAAATCAGCGGCGTGATGAAACAGATATTAAGATCCAGGTGCTGGCAAATTCGGGGGTTCAATCACTTGGAGGAGGCCGATTGCGAGCCTCCTTGTTAATTCCTCTGCAGAAACCTTCACCACATCTCTCCTCATGCCACTCCCAATATCAGCAGCATACCTACTTGCACAATAGACTACCAATGCTGAAGCAGCCATTCCATAAATGTTTGTCGTGAGAAAGCGGAGAGATGTAGATAAAACGGCAGCAAGGGGCCCACCAACTATGGACACTGCCTGCCCGCCTTGCCCGATCGCTCCCTGGTCCAACACCAGCAGCCCAGTCTTGCAATAGATGGCAAAGTCTTCGCAATTGTTCTTGAAGACATTGTAGCAACCAAATCCATTTTCAAGCAAGTAATTAGCTCGGTGAACCACCACATCGGAGGGATCAGAATCTGCGAGACTGCAGGTTCCTCCTCTGGCTTTTGCGATGAATAACGCCGGGTTTGCTGAATACTCAAACCGGTACAAGATGCCGCCGGCGAGGAAGCAGTTTAGGCAGGAGGAGACAACGCCGTGGCCCTCTTCAGGAGGAGTACATGTTTCGCAAGGTACTAAGGATCGAGATGGCCCAGAGCTCACCAATAGGATATCCAGGACTGTCCCTGTTCCTACTTCTCTTCCCCTTCGAGTAAAATGGATCACTTTATCATCCCCAACATAAATACCTGCATTTAGACAGACAATATTGTTGTCAGAATATAAAGGTACGTTAATGCCAAGAAAAAGGACAGAAGGTTTTCGATCGCAGGGAAAATTCGATGCACAATAGAAAGAAGGTAACAGCAAGTTTACAATTGCTCAGAGTATCCGTGTTCGGAGAAGAATAATAATTATTGCAGAAAGATTCTATAGATACACAGATTGGTGTACAAAAATGCCATAAAAATTGAGTGACAGATCCTTTTTGAGGGGTTGAATAGGGGCTCATTTCTCTGAGCACCCACATGGCTTTGCCACACCTTTGCATGCCAGTTCTGTATACTGGTCTAACGTTTCCTAGCATTGCTTGATATTGTATATGTTAATCACAATCCAAGTGATACAACATCATGCATTGTCTAGGATTTAATAGAAGACGAGAGAAGAAAATTAAAACTAAATGTAATTGAATCATACAAAGATATATGGTCATTTATCCAAAGAAAACAAGACAGTTATGCATCCCTGACTTGTATCACCAAATGCACAACATAATCATGTAAGAGTCTGGTCCAGCACACAAACATTAATACAAAGAAGACTATATTCAAACAGCAGAGCTGCTCGCAAGTGGAAGACCACCAGTGTCCCATTCCCTCAATGAGTGAAAAGATGATGCATCCACTAGTTCATTGGACAATAAAACCAAAGAGTTGTCCTGTCAATTCATGAGGATACAAGGTTCCTACTCAACCTTTTTGGTTAATATTCATTATCAAGGTAAAGGATCTTGAGCATCTAGGAAAGTAGGTGTTTTTTTTCCCATTCAAGAGGACAATTGTGATGGTGACATTCAGGCGGATTTCAAGGAAAAGAAAAGAAAATTAAAGTTGATCCACATGGTTTTCCTCTCACCGATAGCATAGTTAGCATCTAATGTTTGCTTCAATTCCTCTAAGTACGAAATGCTAATCCTAACCTTCACCAAAACTACTAGCAAAATCCACAGAAATACCCTTTCTCTAATACTTGTACCTAGGCAATCTGATTTATGACAAACTTCCAAACCAAATTAGCATTCATGGTAACAAATGTATTCCGCAAAAGACAACCATATTTATAATCCTACTGAAGATCTTGTCTCGCTCCAATGGTGCTCGTACCACTATTTCCGCAGGGCCAGAAAGATTATTCTAGTTGAAAGGTCCGTATATAGAGTAGGACTGCTGCATATCCTTCATTGTGCAGGGGCTGATCAAGAAAAGAATGTCCGCTTATACCCAAACCTATTGAGGCACACAAAGACAATGCAGCTAAACCAAAAAATGGAAAAGGACAAAACATTCCAACAAGAGCTAATTTTCTTAAACCACACATTCCTTAATAGACAGAGGGATTACATGCACATAATCTTTATGCATGATGACAAAAGTCTAAAATTCTTCATCTAATAGGATAACTGCATCAACTAAGCAGAAACCAATATAACACAAAAAAGAAGAAGAAATTTTGGAAAAATGCAAATGGCAATTAAAACAGAAGGAAGGAGACAAGAATCGTGATGGGCATAAACGTAAGCGGCCCTCCAAGAGTAGATGTGATCCCCTGGTTTGAGGCTCGCCCTGTCAACTCTGCGATCACACGGTTCAAGTTCCATTATTCAACCAATCAAACAAATCCGCCATTACAGCAGAAGCAACAGAAAAAAGAAGACCCCATCCAACAAGATCCATGTTAAATCCAGCAAAAAAACGCAGGAAAAATAGAGTGACCCAAGTTTTGACGAATCCCAGCAAACCCCAAAAGTTCCAAACATTCCGGCCTTTTCCCAGCATTTTCCTGGCAAAACAAAGAAGCCCCAGATTGAAAAGGAGAAAAGGGAAAGAACCTGTTAGAGAGAAGCCCCATCCCCCTTGTCTTCCTCTTCTGGATGGCCTGGACAGAGAGAGAAAGAGAGAGAGAGAGAGAGAGAGAGAGAGCCGTGAAGAGGGGACGAGCGCAAGTCTTGAACTGACGGTAGAACCCTCTCCCTAAAACCTTCCCGCAAACGGGTCAAGGGAAAACAATGAATGCAGAGAGAGAGAGACTGTTTTGAATAATGTAGAGGGTTGTAAAGGTAAAGGTGCAAAGGAGAGGCGGGCATGGATAGGCAAGAGATCGGGGCAAGAGTAGTCTACGCATGAAGCTTGAGTTCTTTGGGCAGTAATCTCGTATCTCTGCATACTTCGGAGCAGACAGATCAATTCATGAACTTCATCAGGACACGACAACGATGGGACTTCTTTCTTGTAAGCGAGCCAAGGAAAGAAATTACGTTATAAGTTTCACTCACCTTAACAAGAGCATCTTGCATCACAAAATTACTAATCACGCTCCGCTCGTCCAATAGGGAAATGCTAACCACACTCTAGGGTAGCAAAAAAGAAAAAAATTTGGGAATCAACTTGATAATGAGTTATATGAAATCAAGGTCCAATAAAAAAGAATGTATCAATGGGACCAAAGTGTTAAAATAAAAGGACAAAAGCTATCAAAAATCCCAAATTCTGCGTATTATAACACATTTACTCTAAACTTTTTTTGTGATATAAAAAACCTCAAAATTATATATGTGTAACATATTTACCTTACGTCAAAGTTCTGTCAATGAAACCGTTAAAAATTTACCTACAAAAACGCCATAAAGCAAACTGTGTTGATATGGTGCTCACGTGGCTTAAATGAAATAAAAAAGACGTTGACATCTAACGCAATCTTGACGGAGAGTAAATGCGTCACATATGTACAAGTCTAGAATTATTTTATATCACAAGAAAAAGTTTAGGGTAAATGTGTCAGGGTGGACATAGTTTGAACTTTTTAATGTTATAAAAAAAGTTCAAGGTAAATATGTCATAATTGGTATAATTTGGTGTTTGTTTGTGACTTTTTTCCAAAATTAAATAGAAAGATCGATACAATGTATTTTTTTTTATGTCCGTTCCTAATTTCTTGCTACAAAAAGAGTGGATAGATCTTTCATAGGGAGTTAATTATATGACCATTGTATTGATTTGAATTTGAACAAGGACCTTCCAAGATTTGAACTTCAAAATAACTAATCTAAGTAGAATGTGAGTTTATACTTTGTCATCACCACGAAACCGTTTTCTATACTGGGCCCGTTTGGTTCAGCTTTCAGAGTCCGAAAAGCCGAAAGCTAGCATTTGGAATGCCGAAAGCCCAAAGCTGGTCCGGACCAGCTTTGGGCTTTCTGCATTCCACAAATGCTGAAGCCTTTTTTTCTCTTCCCAAATTGCCCTCACTCAAATTTCAATATTCCGGTTTTGCCCATGTTACTGTTCATCTTCTTCACCGCGAGGGTGGCTGACGAAGGGCCGGCGAGGTCACCCGACCCAGGCGAAGGCCACCTGGGGTCTGGCGACCGCCCAGGCGCCGTCGCTTGGGTCACACGACCTCGCCGGCCCCTCGCCGGCCCTTCACCGGCCAGATCCGCTCTCGCCGGTCACATTTTGGTGAAGAATATGAATAGTAACAAGGGCAAAATAGGAATATTAAAAATAAAAATTGCCAAAGTCCTTTGCAAGATTTTTTTTGCCAAACACTACTTAGGCCAAAGTAGTTTTATAAATTTTTTTTTACCAAACGCAACTTGCATTTCCCCAAGTGGCTTTCACCTAAAGATATTTGCATTCCCCCAAGTAGCATTTGAAAAGCTGAACCAAACGGGCCCTAAGTATATGGAAGGAGAGAGATAAAAAAAGATATTCGGGTTTGTAACCGATGGAAACGTAAGAGTGGTAAATTGATATGTCATCGCATGACCGTACAAAGGGCAGTGGTAGGTTATAGAAAAAGCAAAACTGAAGGATGAAAAAAAGACATCGGTTCAATCAGCATTGTTTTCCTATATTCCCGCTCTTAAGAAGCATCCACAAAGATTGAACAGAAAGTGGATGCTTTAGCTTTTTTCATAGTGTTTCTAAGACCGTAGAAAGTGACTGTAGATGGCAAACTAAGTATCTGTTTGGTGTAACTTCCACAACAGTTTTAATTTTGAAAAGCGGTGCTTGAGCTTTTATAAGATGTTTGGCAATCACCTTGCAGCCACAACAATTCCACAGCTAGAGCAACTTTTAGCAGCTTTTATAAAGTTGCCCCACCTCATTTTTGGCTTCTACAGCTTTAAAACAGTATTACCAAAACACACAAATCACAACACATCTTGCAGTTGAGCTCCATCAATACCGAATGGGCTTTAATGCCTCTTTCAAGGTGTAAGTAAAGCCCATCAGGCCAAGCGTCTAACTTAAAGAAAATAAGGGCTCACCAATAGTTCCACTTACAGAATTGTAGAAACTCGGGAACACTCAACAACATAGCTATAAAAGAGCAATGTATGATCTTCTAAAAGGAAAATGAAACGCCCCATTAGAAAAAAAAATCAACAAATTATAAGTATCTTTAAATAAAATGAGATGTAAAAGCACCCACTCAATGGATATAAGAGCCACATTTCTAACTGTCTATATTTCCATCTACCATTGTTTTTATAGGAACAAGGCGAGCGAGAGAGCGATGACCATCCCTTCCAAGTATTCTCATAAGGATTTTCTGCCTTTAGAAAACAAATTTGATTTGACTTATTACTGTACGACATCATTCATGATGCATAGGTTTGAGACTGACGAGCTGGTTTCTCCAAATCCATCAAGATATTAGAGGTCCAGTAGCCGTAGATCCTCGCAAAATTAAATACACACGAAAAGTACCGGAGCATGACAGGCCAAAATGTTGATGTTAAGCCCACTCTCTAATCATAGGCCTTTGAGCGAGAGAGTTCATTTTTGGCGAATTGCCCATGTTAATATTTTCAGTTATTAAATATATCTTGAATTTTATGTACTCGGTCCGGTTCATCACCCGACCCGACATATTTTTTGTGTGACCCAAAAGTGGAGAAAAAATTGAGATTTAGTTTGTGATGCGGAGGGTTGGGCTGATAGGCCCAATCCGGAGCAAGCGAACAAATCTCTATGGCGGTCCGCCTAAGCTGGAGCAAGCGAACAAATGTCTTGGGAGATTCGGGGGCTAAGCCCCCCGAGGAAATTTTTGGGGAGCCATATTTATGCTGCGGCTAGGTTTTTTCATTGATTAAGAAAGATTTTCGCTTTGGGAGAGATTTGTGAGCCGTGAGATTTTGTTAAGTCGTTTTTCGACTTCTGAAAACTGTACTCTCTTTGATTATAGTGAAATTTTGTTTTGCCTCGCCCGTGGATGTAGATTACCTTGTGATCGAACCACGTAAATCCTTGTGTTTTGTATTTGTTTTTTTCGCGTTTGTTTCGAACATCAGTCATTTATGTTTGTTGTCTTGCGTTTAAGAAAACTAGAACAAAACGCGCACTAAGTACGCCGCATTCATCTTATAATAGAATCCGAATAGCTTTTGTTTTTGCTGTTAGTTCACAAGTTAATTGCAAGCTTCCCATCCTTTATTTTCTCTTGCATGCATGTTTATAGGTGTTGCCCCATCACTTTCTCCTAGTTTTTCTCCATCTTAAATGATAATGGTGCAAATAGTGAGAATACTATATGTCAATGGTACATTGGACATCTCAGGGTAAGACACCAAAATTCGAAAGTTGGCTTTACATACAGTAGAGATGATCAAACGAAAGTAGGAATGTATCACCTCTAAGAAGGTGGTCTCTACCAACTGAGCCAATTGTTATTTATATGGATTGAAACTGGGGAAGGGTATTACGAGCCAATCGTTAGTGAGCTAAGCAAAGACAGTTCTGAAATAAGTACTTCATAATGCAAACTAAACTAAAGAAACTTCATTGTTATTCCGTCTTAATTTTGTTTGTAGTATTGTTTTGTGCCATTCCACAGACGAAATGTAGCATCAACCTTTTCTCCAGTGTAAATTGCTTGGGCAGGATGGGTTTCGAGGGGCCGAGACCTACCAACCCGTTTGGGAAGTGACTCTGAAGAGAAGGACATGAGCTTTGTCGATTATACCTTAAGGTTGAGTAATTCGATGCCAATAGAAGGCTATCGCCTGACATGTCACAGTGCACAAATCCTAATTTTGACCTGCCTTTTGGATTTCTTCTTAGCTGAGTATACCATAAGCTAGAACACTCACATTGTTAAAAGTAGGTGAAAGCTTAAAGTATCGATAACAAAAAATTGGACATTGTTTGTGTATTATGACCAGCTTGTTCTCTTTTTTATTTTTACAAGAAAAAAGGGTAAGGACGAAAGACCGGCGTTAATTACCTCTTCTGGGCGTGATCATAGAGGTCCCATACTCTATATGTAATGTTCGATTTGAGTCATAACTATTCCGCGCCATTTATGATTTGAAGATCTAAGTTGGCGAGCCAGTCACTGTAGCTTCACTAAGACTAACAGTTCTAGAAGATGAGCCTGTTCTCTTCTTTGGAGATTTCTCCATTAAAAGGATGTATAACTCGTAAAGATCTAGTCCTATTCAGTATACCCACGTGGGTCAAGTTCCGAGATGAGTATTTAGACGTTCATAGTTTGGGGGTGATTTTGACTTATGAATCACTTTTGGAACAACTCGACTTGGTCTACATGCGTCAAGCCCTTGAAGTAGTACTTAAGGTTTTTACTACTTGAGGATCGGCCTTTACTTATGATTGACAATGCAAGCTCTCTATCATTTAGTGGGGACTTAGGGTGTCACAACCTATCTCCACTTAAAGCACCGACGTCATTGTTAGTGTCGATCCACATCAACTAGTGGTACTTCCCCTATTTGACGCATGATTTGATCAATGTTATCTAATAAGCCTGCTATGAACCACACCTTATCCAAGCCTTGCCACCAGTACAATCTGTCTCATCTCTCGTCGGATTGGCAAGGGACGTAGCCCGTCATTGAATCACGTATATTTTACTTCTGAATAACAGCACAAGCCCTCTACTACTAATCCAGGACTTGGTCTGTTATCACTTCAGTCTCTCGCATCCTAAGTGTATTATGATCATTTTTTATCATACGAAATGTTTCCTCTGCGTCTCCAATCCTCTTAGTTGCGAATTAAAAAATTTCATAGCAGTTAATAAAGGGGCATTCAACGGCGAGCATGCAAGATGCTGGAAAAAACCAATGATCAAGTGGCAGAGATATACATACAA